GTGCTGACGCTGTTCCGCTAGTTCAAGCCAAGCCTTCTGGTACTGCTCGTCGTTCTCAGCCTTCATCTCCTGCACCTCCTTGAGCTCACACGCCACTCTTGCCAGCTGGCTGCGCTTCCATTGCTCCATGTCCTCGGTATCCTTCTGATGCTTGGCTTTGTCCATCTCCATGAACGCCTGGCGCTGCTCGTCAACCTCATCTGACCGACGCTGGAGCTGCTGCATGATCATCGTGATCTTGGCCATCTCTTCCTGACCAAAACGCTGCACTTCCATTTCACGGCTTGCCAGTTGCTGCCTCTGTTGTGCTAATTCCTGTTGCTCTCCACTGTGCTCACGTCGCCCACACTCAATCTGGACCTGCAACTGCCGGTTCTGCTGCTGTAACATTAAGTTGTGATGATGCGCTGCTGCCGCTGCCCTCTGCTGTTCCAGCCATTCATTGTGTCTAGCTGCCTTGCATTCACTCTCGTAGACCTTAGCCTGCTCCTTCGTGAGTAATTCTGTCCTTGGCACCGATTTGGCTACCGATGTTGCTGCCACGGAGCTGCTGCTGTCGACCGTCATGTGATTATCTGCATCCCTGAGGGGTGGCTGCGGCGTCATCTGCGAAAGCGGTATCTGTGGAGCTGCCGTCGTCGGCGCCTGTGTAGCTGGGGTCCGCATCTGCCCTGGTATTGACATCGCAACAGGAGTATCTTGCCGACCCTGTGGAGACTCTTTGTGAAACACCTGTAGGCCAACTGGAAGCGGCTGAGGTGTCTGCTGTGAACCGAATGAGGGCATCGGTGCACGTGATGGCAAGAAAGCCGATCTCCCTGTCGAACTCCCTGGCGTACCTCCTGGCGGTCTATATGCACTCGTGCCACCGTATGGATCCGTTCTGGCTGGTGAAGCTGAAGGCCGCCGAGCATCGTCCTGAGCTGGATTCTGCACTCCCAACTGCTGTACTGTACCTTGACCTCTAGAGACTTGCCCCTGCGGCTGTCTCAACGAGGCCTGACAGCGCAAGTGCTTGCCGTCCACGATTGGGGTTGGGTCTCGACTCGAAGGAAATGGCGGAGGTGGCGGCGGAGGTGGTGGTGGTGGGGGTTGCTCTGCACCGTCTGCTCGGAGATCCTTCTGCAACGCCACCCTCCTATCGTGACCAATGTCAGCCTCCGTGCTTGATATTTCTGCTGTGTCTGCCTCTCCTTCAGCTGCTTCTCGAAATAAATCATGATAGTAATCCAGCATTGTCTCCTCAAAGAGAGCCTCCTGCTTCAATGCCGATATTTTGCCCTCGATCTTGTGCAACTTCTCCTCCGTCTTCGTAATATTGTCCTTCGCTTCCCGACGTTGAATAGCACATGGCTTGAGTTGCCACATCATCCACTTCATAACACTCAACTCCTTCTCCTGGGTAATCACACATGTTCCCAACCGCCGCCCGTGTACAATAACCTCTGCCGTTCTATGCATCCTCTCCTCCAAAGATTTCCGATACTTGGCTGTGTCGGACTTCGGCGGTGGGCTGTAAATGGAATGATTCATGGCGTACTTGCTAGTGCTCATCATCGTCTCCTCCAGAACCTTGGCAATCTCATTCTTGAATGTAGCACTATCTCGATCACGACGACGTTGGTCCGCCTGCTTCTGCATTTGCTTCCTCCACGTGTTGTTGCAGCTCTTCTTCACGCATTGCCATGACGCTGGTTCGTTGCTCTGGCCGCAATCGATACAAGTCCATCTGCCTGGCTTCGCCATGCTGGAGTGGTGAGCCGCCAGAACCTTCTGCGCCTTCGTGACTCTGAGAAGAATCCTAGCCTGAGCTCGCTGTCGACGGCGACGCCGATGTGCAGCGCCCTCGGGGCGTTTGGCCGTCTGGCCTGCTCCTGGCGGGCGGCCCGCCGCGCGCGACCTCGCGCGCAGTCTGGCCCGCCGCGGGCTGCCGCCAGGGGCTGCCGCCGCTGCAAGGGGTGTGGGGGTGTC